GCGCAGGGCCCCTACAGGAAAAATCCCCCCCCCCCCCCAAAAAAAAAAAAAAATGCCCCAGAAACCCAAACCCAAGAAAAAGATCTCAGTTTACCTTTGTTCCTATGACTACCTGCCTATCACCAGGTACGAAGAATGAACAAAGAGCATATTCACAGGTCATCGTGCGAATACATTGCAGTGTAGACCTACAAGAGAGAAGAAATGGAGAATTCTCTGAAGACATATTGCTTCCCCATCTTAGAAGTCAGTGTGTACGTTTCAACACACACGCTCGGTCACACAGACAGGCCAACATGAGAGAAGACAAGTCTTAGCAGACTTTGGCTCAGATCCAATTAATAGTTGAGAGAAAAAATAGTAAATGGCATCGAATTTTGGTTTTCTCTATAAGGGCCTCCTAATTCCAAAAAAGAGCCATTATACAAAAGCACGATAGAAACAGTATCTCTTGGGATCTTCAGAGTCCAATCTGCCGCTACCAAAAAGCAAGTGAGCACAACGCTTCTAAGTCGAATCAGCACCTCGTTACACAACTCTAAGAAGTTCACTTGATAGGTCTATGACATTCATCCCGTCAACAAATACGTACCAACTGCTTTACTTCACTCAACAAACATTTACTGAATGCCTACCACATGAGAGGTATTGTCTAGGTGTGGAGACCTAACAGCAGGTAAAATACAGGGATCTCATTCTCAGGACTTCCACTTTTAGTCAGAGTGAGATGGAACTATTGAAAGTGACCTAACTTCTGTCCTAAAAAGATTACTCTGGCTGCTGTCTTGAGAACAGACTATGGAGGGGCAAGCAAGGAGGACGGCAGATGAGTCAGGAGCTATTCCAATACCCAGATTGAGAGATGATGCTGTGGTGAACGGGAGTGGTGGCTGTGCAGGTGGTGAGATGTGGCTAGAGTCAGGGTAAGTATTAAAGGTAGAGCTGATAGAATTTGTCAATGGATTGGAAAGAAATGGAATACAAGAATCAAGAATAGTGACAAGGTTTTGGGCTGTAACCGCTGGTAGAAAGTAATTATTTACTAAGATGTGAAAAGTCTGTACGAATAGCAAGTGGGAAGATTTTTGGAGAAATGAAGAGCTTAAGTTTAGTCTGGACACAAAAAAGTTTCAGATGCCTAATTAGATACCAGAGTGGTGAGGCAGAGTATTCAGATATGAGTCTGATGTTAAGGGGAGAAGCTAAAGCTAGATATAGATTTATGTGTTTAGAGAGCTACATGACTAGAGATCACATGAAGTGAGTTTAGATGGAGAAAAGGTCCAAGGACCCTACCCTGAAGTATTCTTTAGCATACAGAAGGCAGAAAGAGAAGAAAGATCCAGGAAGGACTAAGTAAAAACAGCCAACAAGGAAAAGGAAAATAATAAAAGTCAATGAAAGTGTCCCAAAGAGGAGAAAGCTATCAATTCAAGGAGAAAGCATCAAACAAAGCCACAGGTCACTGGATGAACAGCATGATCACCGAAGAAATGACAAATGCTTCGGCGGAATAGTGGGAACAAAAGCCTAATGTGATACAGGGAAGACAGAATGGAGAAAAGGAATCCAAGAATGGGACAGTAACTGGAGAGTAATGCAGGGCTGAGGGAGGGTTTATTTCTTTTAGATGGAAGATATACAGCACATGTGCATGCTGATGGGAATGATCACGTGGAGGAGGACAAAGAGGGAACTGTTAGAAGGAGAGAGCAGAAAGAAGCTCAAATACAAGTGTGTGCAGCTGTGCTTAGGAGCATCAACTTAATAAGGAAAAATGATTACATAGAGATGCAACTGAACTGGCAGACATAATGTGAGCACATGAATGTTCTTCTAGATGCTTCCATCTTTTTAGTGAACTAGGAAGAAGAGTCACCATCTTAGAGGTGTTGAAGAGGTTTGAGTTTAAGGAGAGAGGAGATGTGGAAGTCACCTAGGAAAGTAAAAGAGTAATGAAAAATGACTAAAATTTCTGGGCAGCACAAAGGTTCTACTTGTATTTGAGGAGTAGAATAGGCAGTATCGGCTTTGCGTTTTTCTCTAGTCAAGTATAATTACAAACTCCAAGCCTGGGATCAGCTTGTGTTTTTATTCAAATCAAATTTAAAAAGACAACTTTTTCTGCTTTAGGCCCCAAAGGCCTCCAGCCAAATTGCACTGAAGACACATTTTGAGGGAATTGGATGTGAAGGCATATAGTTAATAACTCCTTATCAAGAGTAGCAAAAATTAATTCAAAGAAAAGAAAATATTGTATATAGCAGTAGAAAACATCGTTTCACGCACCTGTTCCATATTTTAATGGAATCAGCGGCCGCTGAAAGGACGGCGATATTATCTGAGCTGAACGACAGAGTCCGCACATCACTGCGATGGCCGCCCAAGGTGATTCTGCTTGTCCTGACAGGCTGGGGAGCAGGCGAGGATGGGTTCAGTGAATATAATTCCACCAGGTTGTTTTGCAGCAGGAACACAGCCTTTAACTCTCCTTGAGGTGAATGAATCAAGTCAAAGGATCTATATGGAAAAATAATAATAAATGCTCTAGCTACCACCTTAGCTCACAAGCTTAACTTTCCTCAGGGAAATGCTTTGCAATATTCTCAGTCTATATAAAGTTCTAACAGCTATGAAGAATTTCACAAACAAGATGGCTCTGAGTACTGAGCAGTAGTCAAGTATAGGTTTTTTGTAGGTGTGCGGTGGATGTTTTAAAAACCCAGGCTCAGATCATGGTTCTTACATACATCTTGCATATATATATACTTATAAGTGACTTAAAATCTTTTCTGATCATGGAATATAAATAAAATTTACAAACTGGCAGCAGGCAGGGGCAGTACATGAATTGTAAAAGGTTATTATAATAACCCAAATACAAGAGAAGTGGGCCCATGGTGAGGATAGTGGAAACAGAATGTGACTCATCTGTCTCATAATCACCATTTCCAAATGCATGGTTATAAAGACTGCTTGCAAAGAGCACAAAGAAGCCCCTGATACGATGTAGCTTACTATTTCTACAACTCCAGACACTATACTTTTTACTCACTTGATTTTGGCAGAAGTTTTTATATTAGCCACCCGCTGGATTTCATCTTGAAGAGTCATTTCAACACTGATTTCGAGGCCTTCCTCCTCTACTTTGCAAGAATCTAATCTATAGCAGGGAAAAAATAGATTCATACTATCACTTTTCTATTCTATATAGAAGCACCCTTGTTCTTACTTGAGTTTAAAATCTGGCCCCGCAACCAACAGGCTATATGATTCTGAGAAAGTCACTTAACTACACAGGATTAACATGAAAATTAAACAATGTAGCATATGTGTTAATACTGGATTGTTGGAAAAGTCATAACCTTTTTTTTTTTTTTTGAGAGATTTTCACTGTAGGGCGCGTGCGCTCGCCAGACAGACAGAGAGAGACATAGAGACAGAAAGCGAGAAATCACCCCCCAGGGGGGATGGTCACGCCGCAATCCCTTCTCCTCCATTCTCCTCTCGGGATCTTGGGCACGCACGCATACGCGCCCGGCGTGAGTTTTAAGCCACCGGGTCCGGGACACGAACCGCGGTCGACTACGTGGGAGTCCAGCGACATAGCCATTACGCTAACTGCTGGTTCCCATAACCATTTTTGTTTTTCTATGCAAAAATGTGTAGTGACTTTTCTAAAGACCCAGTATTTTGTGAACCAGTCAGAAATACGAAGTGCTATTTCATGTAATGGGTACCCTCAAGAAATAAAATTCTGAATGCAACAGTTCATAAATCTCCTGGAATAAGTCTTAGTCATTTAAACTATACCAAAGAAATGTTCCCAGTACATTTTTCTAACTTCAAGACAAAAAAAAAGAAAATTAACCTGCACTTTTTCATTCAACCATGGTAAAAAGAATATGTCTCAAAAGATGTGCCAAATCAGATGATTTTCTTTCTCTTTGAGACTTGATAAATTTTAACCATTAAAGGATGAATTTCTATGGTTATAGTGGCCTATGGCAAGGTCATTCTGCTCCTAAATTTCAATGGTACAGCTTCCTAACTGTGCCCGAGGTTGGCATCATGCATCCAGCTTCCTTCCTTATGGGATATCCCCTGAGAGACAGTTAGCCTGAGAGGTGAACAGTTCAGAGCCATTTTAACAAATCTGTACAGTCTTTCCATTCTGTGTGGGTCTGGGTCCAAACGCAGCAACGTGTTAGTTATGATGATGAGCAGAAATTCACAGGTTAGACTAGTGGTACCCCACAAGTGCTCTAGCTTTTCACAGTAATTAGTAATAGAGTAAATGAAAACACACCTTGCTTTCTTTCTAGCTTTCTTCATCTTTTTATCCATTTTCTTCTGAATTTCTTCTTTTGAAAGAATACAAAACACTTCTAGCACAGAATCAGTTCCCTAGAAAGGCAAAAGGCTGATATAAGTCCAGAAAAGACGATTTGTAATTTAGCTTATTCTCATTAAGCACTAAATAACATTTTTCTTCCCTTACTAGTATTACTGTAGATAGCAGGTTTACTGTCTCTCCTGTAAAGTGGGAATACCACTTCCTATTCACACATTACTCTGAGGAATAAATACGAAGTTAATTGTTACACACACACACACCACAAGAAAAGGGGGTCCATGGTGAAACTAGGAGAAGCAGAACTGAACACATCTGTCTCATAATCACCATTGGACTTTTTGGTGTATTCAAGGTATCTATGAACATTTACCCTCTAAATACATGGTTATACAGACAGCCTGCAAAAAGCATGAAGAAGCCAATAATACTTTGGAGCTTACTATTTCTTTTATAACTCCAGATACTATGTTTTTGCTCATTTGATTTTGGTACAAGTTTTTATATTAGCCACCCTCTGGATATTTGTGCCACAGAGTATGTGCATTCACCAGAGAGAGACTGAGGGACAGAAAAAGGGAGAGAAAGCACCCCTCATGGGGAAAGGTCATGCTACAATCCCTTCTCTTCCAGCTCTCGTTCCTTTTGGGATATTGGGCATATGCACACATATGGCTGGTGAGTTTTTACTTTTTTGGAGAGGTTTTTGCTATAGGGTATGTGCGCTCGCCAGAAAGACAGAGAGAGATAGAGAGACAGAAAGTGAGAAATCACCCCCTGGGGGGATGGCCATGCCACAATTCCTTTTCCTCCATTCTCTTGGGATCTTGGGCATGCACACACACACACCCTGCATGTGTTTAAGCCACCGGGTCTGGGACACGAACCGCAGTTGACTACGTGTGAGTCCAGAGACCATTACACCAACTGCTGGTCCCCCCCCCTTTTTTAAATACTCATTCACTGTATATTACAGCATACAAAATGGCCAAATCAAAGATACTACCATACTATTATCAACAGATAATTTTCCATTTTGTATGTTTCTTAACTGTTTTCTTTCTTTTTTCCCCCCTCACCCTCTGCCCTTCCCCACCCTCTGCCCTTCCCCACCCTCCTCCCACACTGCCTCTGGTGTCCACAGTTGCTCTCCATGCCTTCATATTGTCCAATATTTCAGTTTCTGCCATAGAGTGCAGACATTCAGTATATAATAATGGGGGTGTGTTTCTCAAGCTGCTGGATCCAGGACTTGAACCACTTGGTCAGCCATATGGGATTCAGCTGCCTTAACCACCAAGCCACAGACCCAGTCTGAAGTTAAATTCTTTAAATTGCTTAGAAAAGCCAGCATTTAATAAACAGTTGTTAAATAGTAAAAATAACAATAGCAATGATTTTTGTTGTTATGCTAATAGAATTTAGAGATTATAGGTTCACATGTACCATATGATGAATTATAAACATGACCAAAGAAAATTTCACCTCAACACTGAATATACATGAATGAGCATAAGAAAGGAACAGCTCTGTCCTTGCTATTTTCTAAGCCTGGTACTCACATGGCAAGCAAGAATCCTGCCTGTCTTGTCAACTGCAAGGTTCACAACTCTGTCCCTTCCTTCCCGCATTATAGAACCAGCTTTTCTGCACGAAAGGATGCGCTATAGAAGAAACAAAAGAACACAAAGTTTAAATGTAAGTCCTGCTGAGGCCCTGAAAAGATATATTAAACAAATTGAAAAATCTGCAATTCTCACTTTTCCTACTACTGAACTCAATTAAAGAAACAAAAATGAATTACATCCTCAGGAGCTTCATCCATTTCAAGGGTGCCATCCTCAAGTACATCCTGTATTCCAGGAACAGATGCTTTGCTTTTCTTAGGCTCTGGTTCTTCCGGGTCTTCAATCTGTTTTAAAAGATGGGAAGACAAAAGCTGAAATAGTGAGCTCCAGGAGGTGACCCTTGAGTCTAATGATTGAGAAATTATTCCTATGGCCACTAACAGCTTCCAAAGAGTGATCTCTATGATCAAACTTCTGCAATGGCAGGACAAGTATCACAATATATCAGAAGATGATTATATCACAAGAGAATAAAACATAATTCATGATACTATTCTCTAATAATTTCCCATGCTGTAAGGACTACTGCTTAGTAATAAGAGTAACAAAATAATAACCCATTCTTTATTAACTTCAAACTTTCTCTGTTCTTAGGTAAAAAGGTCTACCATACTCTAGAGGGAAAGATTCAAATTGGCATTAGGAACTGCAAAGGCACTGCAAGATGGGATACATTTTTCTCTAATATAGACTCCATCAAATTGGCTACTGGCTATGTCATTGCATAACTAACTCTGGCTAAACCTAAGCTCCATAACCTTTTGTCTATATGAATTCTTTGCACATTAGAGGAAAACGTAACAGATTTTCTCAGAATACACATGTTTAAAAACACACATAAACTGCATAAATTTTTGTTAGAGGATAAATGTTCACAGATACCCTGAATACACACACCAAAAAGTCCAGGAATATCAGACAAAAAATGCCATAAATTTGGGTAACTACTGAGTCTCAGCAGTGACACAATGATCTGTGATTCTAAGGCCATATGAAAACGTCCCTCGCTCACACCCCGAGTCTCCCTGTATGTATTGGGGTGTGCATGCACCAGTGAGCTCAGCCAGCTGAGGGATCGTGACATGAAGACCCTGTTGGGGGTGTGTGCTACAAACTAAAACACTGGCACTACCAAAAGCTATAAGCTTTGATATCCTCCTCCTGAGCTCAAATGAGGGTAATGAGCATATAATGAAGAAAAAATTTTGTTTGGAAATTGTATGAATAGGATAGAATTCCTTCTAGTACTGTGTGAAGTACTTCATAATTACATCTGATTGCACATTCAATGAGCCTATATAAATACTAAGATAATAGCATTGCTGTGAAGTGATTACCTCTTGTAGATAGGCTATGTCCCAAGCCCTCAGTTCACTGTCCGACGCCCCAGTGATGAGTCGTTTTTCTTCCGACACCAGAACCAACCCCCATACCTACAAGTAGAAAAAGATGATTCAATATGATTTCTTAGAGATTCCAAGTTCCATAACATAAAATTCAAAAGTCTTAAGTTAACTGTAGTGAAATCTCTTTGACATTTCAAAGTCTAAGAAAAGGCAAAATTTTAAAAATCTTTTCAAAATGCACTAAGAAAAAATGGGCTGTGTTGCCACATTTTTCTTGCTAATTCAATACTAGGAGTTACTAACTTCTTATTTAAATTTAGATAATGGCTGTTTAACATAAATACTAACTAGAATCCACTCAAATGGGATTTTCGGTTTTGTATTTATTTGTTTTCATCAGTCTCATAAATAAGACATTAATACCCCATTAATATCTATTGCATAATTTTCAATCTCAAATATCCAAAAATTAAGTAATGAAAATAACAAGATTCTACAAATAGTCAAAGAAATTCATCTGCGTTTCCTCCTCATTAACACTGGGTAATATGGTAGTATGGTTTCAAAAGCCTGTGACTAACAAAGCACTGAGGAAGATGCAAGGACGTATAAAATATTTCCTGAGCTGAACTGAACCGATCTATGTTCAGTTAACTATTATAGCAGCTACAGTTTGCCGTTTACATGTCACTGGGCCAGGGACTATACACACAGAATCATTAAACCTCCTATAATCATAAAAATGGACTATTTAAAAATATGACACTCATGAATTACCAATTACCCAAAGCTAATTTCTACTGAATGCCGGAGCAGCTGTAAGTACTCCAATGGCTGGCATTGCTTCCTTCAAGCCAACTGTCTCTCAACAGCATATGATTACTGTGAGCTAAAAACTAGTCATGAAAGAGCCAGAGAAGAAAGCCATCTTCTCCTTTCTGCTTTGCCCTTCTTTCTCTGGGCTCATGACCCTACATGTACCTCAGTTCGGTGGCCAACCATTGTTTTGAAGCAGTGCTGGGTATCAAGGTCCCACCATTTCACCATAGTATCTTTCCCACTAAAAGAAGAAATGAGAAAAACATTTATTTCAGGAGGATCATTATACTAACAGGGAGATCAAGAACTCATTTGTTGCTTTAAAACGATTATACACAGCTAATGTCTAAAGCTCTGATTATACCTGACCTTTATGTGGAAAAGCAAACTAACTCTCCAAATCATTTCTCTTTTGTAGTAAATAAAATGTTTCACCTATGACCACAAAAATTACTTGAATTAAGAGTACTAAAGAACATAGAACTCAATCCATCATACCTTCTATCCAGTTTCCATCATCACTGTACCAACATGTCCAGTCTTTTATGTAGTGAAAATGCTTGCTCTAGGGAGTCTCTAAGTCTTGTCTCCTATCCCTTTTCTATATACAAACTTGATGTCCTACTACCTGGATTACCTTCATAGCTTCCAATCTGCTCTTTTTGCCCATTGCTGTTCTCTAATCCCATCTAATACCCCACTGTCAGATAATCTCAATGATTAAAATTTTCATTAGCTCAGTGTTCTCTATAAAATTAAAAAAGGCTGTTCAACACCATTCTCAAAACTTCCCAATAATTTAATTAATGCCCTAATATAATCCCTCCCTGCCAATGGGCTCTACTCTTCCCACCTCTTCATTATTAATCCTCTAAAGTAGAAAAAAGGCAAATGAAAAAAATCCCATTACAGTCAATCTCATATAATCTCATTTTACAGTGTTATTTTTTTTCCTTACTACCCCTAAACTGTTATACCACAGAATTAGAACCACAGAATTCACAGAACCTGTGTTACCTGAACGACACACACTAATGAACCCATAGCCTATCCCAATGGAACACATTCACTACTTGGTACTGCATTTAGTGCATCACTTTTACTCTCTGAATTTTTACTATGGTTCCTCTAATTATTGCCTGGCAAGCTTTAGGATCCCAGTCTTTCCTAGGTGGTCATTTCTTAGGAACAGTAACTATTAAATTAGGTTAAGCCATATGAAATTATTATTAATACTTGATCATGTTTGGCCTACATGAATGGAAAATGCAAACGATTTAACCTACTAGCTGTTCTGAAGGCCTATGGAGTACTTCTCTCCTGAAAGAAGAACTAAATCAAATACCTGGTATCCACATCCATCTACTACTGCTCCATATTTTGCTTTCCTGACTTTCTAGTAATTCAGAAGGCAGACAAAGCTTTTTCCATAAAAGGTATATCCAAAGGTAAAGGTGCTTGGAAAAGCTGGTATCAGAGATAAGAATGACAAATCAGAAGAGAGAATGTGAAGTGCCGTAGGTAACTCTAGATAGCTCAATGATATTATTTGGGAGTGTTAAGAAAGAGAGAAAACAGGACAAAGGAAGCTAGTGCAGAACTACAGTACAGAAAAACAAATAAGGAATGATGCAAACTCCCTCTTTGAAATCCCCTCCAATAAATTCAAACCATTCCTTCTTTACCTAGTCACTAGCAGATTCTTTTCTCGTAGAAATAGTGCTTGTGTGATGGCATCCTTGTGCCCCTTTAGACGGTAGAGACCACTTTCATTGATCACATCCCACACAATAACATCTGTGTCCTACAGGGATCAAGTAATACAAAATAAAAACAATTTATGTTACTACATAAGGCCTAACCTGATAACACAATTAGATTTAACTGTTGTAAAGGCAATACATAGTCCTTGTAGAAAATTTGAACAATGTTCAGAAAATACAAAGAAATAAACACTGACCTTTATCCCACCAGGAGAGAACAATCACCAGATACCTTTTAAATTGTGCTAATCTTTATGTATGAGGCCTCCAAAATGTTTGTGGAAAACACATATTATAAAAATTATGCTTGGATTTCAGAACACTTTTTGCACCAAACTAAACCTACACTTTAATTCCATGTTCCTCAACTTTTTTTTTTTTGGAGAGATTTTCGCTATAGGGCGCATGCGCTCGCCAGACAGACAGAGAGAGACATTAGAGACAGAAAGTCTCTAATCCATCCCCCACAGGGGATGGTCACGCCACAATCCCTTCTCCTCCATTCTCCTCTCGGGATCTTGGGCATGCACGCACACACGCCCAGCGTGAGTTTTAAGCCACCAGGTCCGGGATGCGAACCGCAGTCGACTACGTGGGAGTCCAGCGACATAACCATTACGCTAACTGCTGGTTCCCCATGTTCCACAACTTTTTGAAGTTCTCTCACATATATTCAAGTTGTTACTTCCCATTTAGAAAATTGAGGGTTTTTTTAAAGAAATTTTTGTCATAACAAAAAGTCATGTTAGAAAATGTAATGTGCGGGGAACAGCAGTTAGCGTAATGGTTATGTCGCTGGACTCCCACGTAGTCGACTGCGGTTCGCATCCCGGACCTGGTGGCTTAAAACTCACGCTGGGCGTGTGTGCGTGCATGCCCAAGATCCCGAGAGGAAAATGGAAGAGAAGGGATTGCAGCGTGGCCATCCCCCCTCGGGGGGTGATTTCTCGCTTTCTGTCTCTCTGTCTCTCTCTGTCTTTCTGGCGAGCACATGCACCCTATAGCAAAAACTTCTCCAAAAAAAAAAAAAGAAAGAGAAAAAGAAAAAGAAAAATATAATGTGCACATACATTCACTAGAGAGACAGAAAGTAAGATGGCCACACTGCAATCCCTTCTCCTCTATTCTCCTGTCTTGATTTTGGGCATGCACACACATGCACCCAACATGAGTTTCAAGTCTGTGGCTCCAAGACTTAAACCATGACCAGCTATATGGGAGTTCGACAATGTAACCCCTAAGCCATCTGCTGGTCCCGAGATCATTCTATTCAGACCAATTTATAACCCCTCCCTTTTCTTGTTTATTATATTTCTTTTTCCCATGTTATTACAGAGTGTTCTCAATTTTTTTTTTCTAAGAGGTTTTTGCCCTAGGGCGCATGAGATCACCAGAGAGAGACAGTGATAGAGTAAAAGTGAGAAATTACCCCCCGGAGGGATGGCCACACAGCAATCTGTTCTCCTCCATTCTCCTGCTGGGATCGTGGGTACGCACCTGCCTGTGTGCACACACGAGCCTGGCATGATTTTCAAGCCACCGGGTCCAGGACTAGAACCACAGGCTGTCATGCAGGAGTCCAGCAATGTAACCACTATGTCATCTGCTAGTCCAAGTATTCTCATTTTTAACACTAATATAATAAACAATTCTAAGCATATACTATAATCTATTCTTAAAATTTTCTAGTTTAGGGACCAGCAGATGGCATAATGGTGATATTGCTGGACTCCCATGTAGTCGACAGTGGTTTGAGTCTCAGACCCGGCAGCTTTAACTCATGCTGGGCACGTGTGCGTGCGAGCCCAAAATCCCAGGAGGAGAATGAGGAAAAGGGACTGCATCATGGCCATCCCCCCTGAGGACAATATCTCACTTTCTGTCACTCTGTCTCTCCAATGAGCATATGTACCCTATAGCAAAAAATCTCTCTATTAAAAAAAAAATTATATTTTAGACACTTAGGTAATTTCTAATTCTTTGGCATTATAAATACACATAAAACCAAATTCTTGTACATACATCTTTGTATATATTCTGATTAGAATACAAACTAAAATGGGAAATTCTTGGGTTAAAAGGCATGTTTGTTTTTAAAGTTTTTGATTCACACCATCAAAATTATCCCCAGGTTAAATCAATTTATTTGAACCGTCAGGGATATGTATGAGAAAGCCAGTTTTCCCATCTGCTCATTTCTGGGTATTTCTAGTTTTCTCGAAAATCACTGCCAATTTGTTATGTGAAAAATTCTTAGTTTCAATATTTATTTTAATTTGCATTTCTGAATATTAAATGTTACAGGCATTTATCTGCTATTATACCTCTCTTGAGCTGTCAATTCTTTCTTTTTTTACCCTAGAGAGATTTTTGCTATAAGGCGCGTGTGCTCGCCAGACAGAGAGAGACAGAGAGACAGAAAGCGAGAAATCACCCCCCAGAGGGGGTGGCCACGCTGCAATCCCTTCCCCTCCATTCTCCTCTTGGGATCTTGGGCACGCATGCACACACACCCGCCGTGAGTTTAAGCCACGGGGTCCGGGACTCGAACCACGGTTGACTACGTGGGCGTCCAGCGACATAGCCATTACGCTAACTGCTGGTCCCTTGAACTGTCAATTCTTATCATCTTTCTTTAGTTATCATCTTTTACTTGATTGTTAAGCTATTAACAATAAATAATATTGATCGTTTCTTTTTATTTTATATTTTTGGGGAGATCTGTTTTATATTAAACAAATATAAAATAGTTTCTTTTTATCAGCCTTTTACTTATTTTTAATATACAAATACATTAAAACATTTAGATGTTCAAATCTATCAATCATTTTCTTCATAATTTTTTCTTTGCTAGCACACCTGAAGTCCTTCCCATCTTTATATCTATCAAATACACACTTTCCAGTTTACTTAAAATGCTACTTTCTAATATTTAAGTCTTTAATCTGTAGCTTGTTTTAGTATACCATACCAGATAAAGCTTAAAAATTTCCCCCAAATAGAATTTATCTAAGTGCAGTTACATAAATAATCCATTACTTTTCTACTTACCAAAAATGCCATTTTTAAAATATAGTAATTAGTGGACCAGCCAGCAGCATAGTGTTTAAAGTGGCTGGATCCCACATGGCTGACTGTATGGTTCAAGTTCCATACCCTGCAGCTTAAAAAAATCCCAAATCCCAAGAGAATAGAGAAGGGATTCCAGTGTGGCCATCTCTCCTAGGGGAGTGATTTCTCATTTGGTCTCTTTCTGGTAAGCATGCGTGCCCTATAGCAAACTAATATATATGCACATGTACAATTAATATATACCTATATTAATTAGGTACATCAAAGTAAATTTGTTTGTGAGATTTCTATTTGGTTGCAGTAATCTGATTCTCTTGCATTGGCACCATATCAATATAACACTTTTTGGGGTCAGCAGGTGGTGTGGTGGTTAAGGGCGCTGGACTCCCATGTGGCCAACCATGGTTCAAGTCCCGGACCTGGCCGCTTGCTTTCTCACTTTCCCTCTCTCTCACTCTGTCCCTCTTTGGTCAAATTAAAAATAAATAAATATAAAATAAAGTTCAATAAAATAATTTTTAAAAAATAACACTTTTTAATTGTAATTCTAGAGTGCATTTTAGTATCTAAAATCCCCCTTTTATTTTTTCTTCTTTCCCAAAATTTTGATGCTTCTAATTCATTTGTTCTCCATTCATGTCTTTAATTCATTTGGTTAAGTTCTAAACAACAAATACCTTTGGAATATTTACTAATATGGCTTTAGTTATATACATTGATTAGAAAACCCAATTATATTTTTCATACTGTCTTCCCATTCAAGAACATGAATTATGTCTGTATAAGTCTTCTATTACATTCTTCAGTACAGTTTCATACTATTTTTGTCTATTAATTAGCAGTTTATTATGAATGGAATCTTTTACATTATATTTTCTAACAGATGACTTCTTTTTTTTTTTTTGGAGAGGTTTTCGCTAGAGGGCGCGTGCGCTCGCCAGACAGACAGAGACATAGAGACAGAAAGCGAGAAATCACCCCCCAGGGGAGATGGTCACGCCGCAATCCCTTCTCCTCCATTCTCCTCTCGGGATCTTGGGCACGCACGCACACGCGCCCGGCGTGAGATTTAAGCCACCGGGTCCGGGACACAAACCGCGGTCGACTACGTGGGAGTCCAGCGACATAGCCATTACGCTAACTGCTGGTTCCCTAACAGATGACTTTTGAGATATGTGAAAGTTATGGATGTTACAGAACTCATTGATGAATAATTGTTTCTTCTTTTCCAGTCTTTGTTTTCCTTGTCTTACTGTTTTAGGTAGCACTTCCACAATGATGTTCTATAATAGTTATCAGGGGAAACCTCATCTTGCTCCTACATTTAATAGCCTCTTATCACGGAATATGACAAGAAACAAAATGATCCTGCCAATTCACATCCATCCTCCTCACTCTGTTTCTAGCATCTATGTTATTTTGTACATTATCTAACAATTCCTGGAAACAACCTACTTCAGCATTAGCCTCATATTCCTTTAATGTACCAAAGTCTGGGCACATGAATCAAAGCCTCACCTTAGACCCAGATGCCAGTCTGCCTCCTAGCTGATCATACTTCAAGGTAGTGACAGCTGCTTTGTGTCCATTAAAGGTCACATTTCCCTCCCCACTCAGGAGACTGAAGATTCGGATAGACCCATTCTCATAACCAACAGCTAAGTGTAGCCCATCTGGAGAGGGACACAAGCAAGTGACTTCTTGCTTAAGCCCCTGAAGGATGAGAATCTGAAATGACAAGAATCAAAAAAGAGAAAAGTGTGCAAATATCAGGCACAGTAATACAGAGCACCAATAACCCCAAATCATTATTATAAATAATAATGAAACTCTATGATCTATCTCAAATAAATAATGAAACCCCACAGACTATCTCAAGTTCTTAAATTTTTTTAAATTTTATTTTATTATTTCTTATTTACATTTAATTATGGTATACAATATGGTTTTTCAAAGCATGTATATAATGTGTGATAATCAACATTTTCAACAGAAAACATTATATTATTGTGTCTGTTAAATGTTTTTTTCCCTAAGCCCCCCCCCAATCCATCTTACTGAAGCTCTTTAATATAAAATTTTATTCGTATCAAGCAACAAAGTTTTCAAGAAGGGGTGCAATTATTTTCTCAAAGCTCCACATCAAAAATTCCCCAGACAATGGAATAAATTACTAAGTCTTTATCGGAGGCCAGTGCTTTTCAACAAACTATTATAAACCCATTCTTGCTTGAACTAAGCCACATTTTAAGAGAAACCAATCTGCACGGCAACAGTGCAGTATAATGGTTTTATCCTCAAGGGATTCTTACCAGCCACAACTACCAAAGTAGCAAGCATTTAGGAGTTACACAGTGAGTGGACAAAATCAAAATGCCTGTATTTGGTTTGGTAGAAGTGGTAGGCTTAGGGAATTCAGAATCAAGCAAATTATCAAACCCTACTCTAACAACTATTGGGCTTTATCTGTGTAAGTACAAAAAAGATTCTGTCAGCACGGAAGAGCAATACTCTTTTAAATGCATAGTATTTATAAGGGAATGGTGACTACAAGTAAAAGAATTCAAGAAATATAATTACTAAAGTAGAAAAAAATCAATAAGCAATAAGTTATAAATATTACTACAGACATCTAGTAAGTAAGCTATTTAATTGTGGTTATCGGATTTATTGATGAACACAACAGACCCAAAGAAAAGATTTCTCTCTTAAGGACACACACATAAATCCATGAGTGATAAATAAATCAGAGCTCTCCATCCTCAAATAAATCAACATAGTTGATGTATGGCTCACCTTTTCTCCTTTCCTTAAGTCCCAGATGAAAACATGTTCACAGGCTGGTACTGCTACATAGCGTCCCTTCTCTCCACGAAGTGTCACGAAGACAATATTTCCTTTTTGGCTGCCAATCAGGCCAAAGACTGCACTTGCAACGTAGCGTAGGTACTGCTTGGTGAGCCCCATGTTATGGTGCTTGAAACCACAAGGGAGGCAATCTGCATATAACAAAGAAGACTCAGTTCTGGGGGTACCTTTTCTGCTGGGCTAGTGAACACAAATCATCATGTGGTTAAAAGCATTGAATTTGTGGATTCTTAACCTTTACTTACTCTGAATAAATCATTAAACTAAAATACCAGGACATCTTCATTTTTATATTCACAGTTGACTCAACAGGTAACCCCCCACTCCTCTACTTTCAAATTGGTCAGATTATCGTGCCCACTTCATAAATGTCTGACATTATAGCATCAATGCAGCTAAAGAATTCACTTTCTGCCCATTTAACCACCAGCAGAGTTTTTAAACTAAAATTGGCAGCCTGAGGCTAAACATTTTATCATGAATATTACACACATATTAATTAGACAGGCACTGTTCTAGACACTACATATATGGTGTTCAATAAGAAAAAAATCCCTGACCTTGTGGCATTTACTTTCCAGTATGAGGATTCTCAAATCCTCGTACATATCCAAACTACCCGGAATGTAGATGGGCTGGGAATCATCTCACTGCATCTCCTGGCGCCTGTTTCTGATGCAGTAGGTCTGGATGAGGCCTAAGATTGTTCATTTCTAACAAGTTCCCAAGTAATGCTGCTACTGCTATGGTTCCTGGTTCCTGGACGACACTTTGAAAACTACTATCCTAATGCAACAGACTAGTGTAAGGGTCTGCAGTCATTTCGAAATTAAGAAAGGCCTTTAACAAGAACAGTCTGACCAAGTTCTGAATCATAGGGAGATCTGTTTGGAGAATTCTCGTTTCCATAATTTAGTGGAGAAGAACAAAAACAACCCAAAGGAAAATGGTTATGTGAAGTAAAACAGGAATCAGGATAATTACATGGGGAGGAATGATTATACGCCAGTTTAAGTGTATTTTGTATTTAAAAATACTGAGAACAATATTGAGCTTTTGGAAATAGTTTGATGATCTTTGCTGCCTGTCTCCCTGTAACCAGTTACAAAAATAAACTCTTCTCCAGCCTCGGCCTCGTTTCACTGACCTTGAGAAGCAGTAGCTGGACTTGGCAGCCGCAACACTAGTACATTGCAGGTCTACCCTGGATTACAATATCAAAGCACCCATCTCCTCCTAGCACACAAAAGTGGTACAGCATTTAGCACACTATTTTTGAAAGATGCCATAAGTCCTGCATAGCAAATTCACTGAAAATGCTGCTTACATATAAAAGGGACAAGAAGATAAGTCAATTCTCTCTGATTTTGACATGGAGAGTGAAAAGCATCCCCCGAAACGTGCAACTTAAAAAAAAAAAATACTGGGACCAGCAGCTGGCGTAATGGCTGGCGTAATTGGACTCCCACATCATTGACCATGGTTTGAGTCCTGGACCTGGTGGCTGAAACTCACACCAGGCACGTGTGCGTGCCTGCCCAAGATCCTGAGAGGAGAATGGAGGAAAAGAGACTGCAGCGTGGCCATACCCCCTGGGGGGTGATTTCTCGCTTTCTAAAATAAATAAATAAATAGGTAAATAAATAAATAAATACTTAAGTCACAGTCTTTTGGGAAACTCTTTTTTTCTTTTTGTTATTTTTATGTGGTTTGGTCTAATTCTATAGAGTCTCTGATTATAATCCACTCTTCCATTCTACTGCAACAGAAAAATATTTTTACCTCAACTCCACTAATAATCACTTATGGGCCTCACTGTCTTTCCTCACAGAAGCAACCTAAAGCCAGTTAAAAATCAAGAAAAAATAATATTAACATAGTGAGGGGACCAGCAGATGGCATAATGGATATGTCGCTGGATTCTCACATAGGTGAACACAGTTTGAATCCCAGACCCAGAGCCTTGAAACTCACTCTGGGTGCATGTGCATGCATGCCCAAAATCCCAAGAGGAAAGTGAAAGAGAATGAGAATGGTTTGCAGCATGGCTATCCCTCCTTGGGGGTGATTTCTCGCTTTCTGTCTCTCTATCTCTCTCTCCAGCAAGCACACTTACCCTATAACAAAGATCTCTTAAAAAAAAAAAGATAAAAATAGGGACCAGCAGATGGTGTGATTGTTACATCACTGGACTCCCACATAGTTGACTGCCGTTCCAGTCTCAGACCCAGAGGTTTAAAACTCATGCCAGGCGCGTGTGTATATGTGCTCAAAACCCAGAGTGGAGAATGGAGAAGGGACTGCAGTGTGGCCATCCCCTCCAGAGGGTGATTTCTCACTTTCTGTCTCTTTGTCTTTATCTGGCGAGTGCACGCACCCTATAGCAAAAAGCTCTCAAAAAAATAAAATAAAAAAAGATTAACATAGTGATAATGCTCTTAGCCTAGCCCATTTGATTGATTCTCCCCCAACTAGTTTTATTTTACCAGACTTTTGATTGATTCTCCCCCAACTAGTTTCATTCTACCAGACTCTTTTTTTTGCTATAGGGCGCACATGCTCGCCAGAAAGACAGAGAGAGACAGAAAGGGAGAAATCACCCCCCAGGGGGGATGCTCATGTTGTAATCCCTTCTCCTCCATTCTCCTCTCGGGATCTTGGGCATGCGCGCGCGCGCACACACACACACACACACACACACACACACACACACACACGTGCCTGACCTGGTCCAGGACTCAAACTGCGGTTGACTACATGGGAATCCAACGACATAACCATTACACCAACTGCTGGTCCACCATGCCAGACACTTAACTGTAGTTGTTCCTCATATTAGTCTTTGATATATACCACTTTCTCCTACAGTGTTTTCCTTGAAGAATTAGATAACATGCCTAGACCCAGAAACTATCTCTTATTTTCAGTCCTGTTCACGTACATGAATACTAAGCATAAGAGTTCCAAATCTTTACTGCACATTCACACTTAAGTATACTAACATATCAACAACAAAACCTACCCACTTCTGAAACCCTCTCGTTTTTTCTGACTCTAAGACACACAATTCTCCCAGAAATTCAGCTCAAATCCTTGTAGTAATCGTTGGCCCATTCATTAAAAACGGTAACTGATATACGTGTATAACTAAGTAAATATGCAGCTATTTGATTACACATAGTAATTAATAAATGGGTTTACATGGAAGGCACTTATAAAAACATGTAGCACACTGTAAATATAAGTACAAAAAACTTTTCCACAATACCCCTACAAGAGAGATTATTGTTATCTCCATTTTACAGATCAAGAACCTAGACACAGGGAACCAGCAGTCAGCGTAATGGCTATGTTGCTGGACTCCCATGTAGTCGACCGCAGTTCGCGTCCCGGACCCGGTGGCTTAAAACTCACGCCGGGCGCATGTGCGTGCATGCCCAAGATCCCGAGAGGAGAATGGAGGAGAAGGGATTGCGGCGTGACCATCCCCCCTGGGGGGTGATTTCTCACTTTCTGTCTCTATGTCTCTGTCTGGCGAGCGCACGCACCCTATAGCAAAAACTTCTCAAAAAAAAAAAAAAACCTAGACACAGAGAAGTTTAAACAGGTAGCCCAAAGTCATTTAGCTAGTAAGTGTCAAAGCCAGATTACAATCCAGCCAGTTTAACTCCAAAATTCCTGCTTTTAACCTCGATGCTAAGCTGCTCTTTTCTTCTCTCTTTTTTGCCATAGGGCACAGTGAGAATTTACCCCTGGAGGAGGGGTTGGCCACACCACAATCACTTCTCCTCTCATGATTTTGGGCACACATGCACACAAGCCCTGTGCTACTTTCAGGCCTCTGGGTCTCAGAGTGGAACCACCGGTGGGCAATGTGGGAGTCAGCACTCTAACCACCACACAACCTGTCCCTTTCCTTCTCTCTTTTGTCAGTCAACTCCACCTGATTGCCTGTCTAAAGGAGGATCCCTTTCACTCTTTTTTTTCTTAACAGTTCCAAGACTTTATCACTTACTGCACTAGTTTTCCACCTACCAACCTCCACCTCCATAGTTTTTCATTCTTTCAAGTCATAATACCACCTGACTTTTCTTTTCAAATGTGCTGTTCCCATTGTCCTTCAAAGGGCTAAATCAGTTATGTCCAATAACTCATTCTATCTACCCCTAGATTTCTTGAATAAGCTTATTCCCTGTCAGGGTAGCTGGTTTCCTTCCTTCCCCTGGGATCTGACCTTTCGCATCATTCCTCTTCTGCTCACCTACACTAACATGCATCCTCCCATGTATCTGTTTTAAACAGTGTTATCCTCTGAGGCCTGCTTCCTTCCAGGTAACCCCAATTCTCACCGCTTTTCCCACTGCCTTAACATTTAAACTACCGTCCACACAACACAGCAGTGGTCACTTGGTCCTATGTGCACAGATCTCGCCGCCTTCTGGAGAGAGCTCATGAGCTTCCCTTCTTCCGAGAACCCACCATCCTTGCTTCCTAATCCACAGCCCCTCAAAACATGAAGCCTCCATGATGCACTGAAGGCCTAGCCCGTGGTAACAGCCCTGTCACACGTCCCCAAACCGAGCCTTCAGTCAGGAGAGGATGAGGCGGGTTCCGCACAGGGACTACAGCGTCAGAACATCTTGAGTCAAGCCTGTGCACGCGGCAGCACCGCTCGGATCGCCAGCCCCTGCTGCAGCGGAGGGTACTCAGGGTACGCTATGGAAGGCGCGCAGTCGCCTGGGTTTCCCCCCACTCCCGCAGCGATCGCTCCAAATACTCACGCCTCGACTGTTGCTGACACCACAAAGGTCTCAGACAGAATTCAGCCAACCTCGAGCTTTTGATCAAAGGTGCTCAGCGGCCGCCGCGAACCTCCCAGGCACACCACAGCTTCCACGAGGCTTCGGCCAGTTGGCCCCGCCCCTTCCGAGTCTGTTCCGGGAGCCTCTTCCGCCCGACCTTCCCTTAGCCTCCTAGGCGGAAGTGACGAGCAGAGGCGGCGCTGATTGGTGAGTGCCGGCGGGGAGCGTGTCTCGCAGCCCGGAGCACTTGCAGCTGGTCACTCCAGCCCCCTGGGACTTTGACTCGCCTTGCCCGCGGCGCTCCTGGTGAGGGTTGTGTGGAGATGTCGCTCGCCTGCCCTCTACCAGGAGCTTAACCCGCCCCGCCCGCCTCCCGAATGGGACCTCCGGAGTGCAGTGAGTGGCGGGACGGAGGCCGGGAGGGAAGGCGGGGAGGAGCGGGCGGGGGGCGCGGCCGCAGGCGCACGAGACTTGGCCCCGACTGGAGGTGAGGGCAAACCGGATTAGTTGGGTCTGTTCCCTGGAAGAATGAGCCTGTCATTAGTTCTGTGTGCTCCCTGGAAGAAGGAGCCTGGCATTTCTTTCCCCGATGGAGGTTGGCTTCTTTCCGAGGCGCTGTCAGAGTCTCTGTCGGCGAGAAGAGGGTAGGCAGACCCGGGCAGCAAGGGATAGTGGTGCGGGAGCCGAAGAGACACGCTCCCTGGGGTGCAGGGGATACTGGGCGGCCGGGCGCTCTGCGGGTTGCAACCCCGAAGTCGAGTCATGTTGCCGCCCCTGTAGACTGGGCGTTCCATGAACCGAGAGCAGCTCGCATCAGGGGTGGGTACAAGCTTAGCCCAGGATGCTGAGTTGTCTGGGTCTCCGCAGTCCCTGGAGTGACATTGCCTGGCTTTGTGTTTCCGCTCTCTGGCAGCAAGAGGGGGAAGTGACCAGGGCCGGCTCCTCCTTGTTTGTTGATTGAGGCTTAGGTGGTTTGTCGTCAGGTGGGAATTGACTTTTCTGTCGTACAGTTCTTTTCGTATTTATTCTGGGGCTTATGAAGTGTTTGGAAATGAATTCTGATGTCTAGAACTGTGTAAAAATAAGGGTAACATAGATATACAGAAAAAGTACGTCCTGCCGTCGGTTGTTGAACACATCAACTACAGCCAGCCCAGAAATTAGACTTATCTCATCACATTATCTGATTTTCTTCAGACGTTTTCTTGACTTTTAAAGACATGTTCAGCTGATGGATAGTCAAGCTAATTGAGACTGGATAGATTGTTGCAGCGCCACAGATGTTTTGAAACAAGATTACTGTGGGTTGGATGAATGAGAACAGAAGAAATTGTGGTAGCAGAGTAGGATTTCGAATTTGGTCAGAGCAGACCAGTCTAATTTGGGTCATTGTGATTGTTATGGAAATGTATTGAACTACAGTGTGTGTCCCTGTTACTCAAACCTTTGGAATCAATGTTTTCCTCCTCTGTCACATTAGGTACAGTCACTTTAACACTGCCACAGTAGACATGAGTGTGTAGTAAACATGAGCGTTGGGTGACCTAGTGGTGAATTATTGTACTGTCTGCTCTGTTCACTGGTGCCATGACAAGTTATTAATTTTTCTCAGTTTATAAATACGTTTAAAGGTTCCTGCCTTCATTATGCCTAGGTTGCAAACATTGCTAATTTCATTCACAGTTATATCCTGAGTAGTAAACACAGTACTGTAGGGTTTTTGTATGATGTCTGCTCATAATAGATGATCAATTATGACTAATTATTAGTTTGTGAGAGTCATTTGAAGTCATCTGATGTTCAACTTGTCAGCAAATTGAAGAGATTTTTCGCCCATGGTGTACAATCCCAATTCATGATGAGACAATCTTTTTTCTTGCCATTTCCCTAACTTGTAATAACCTTTTTCTTGTCTCCACCTCTCAGATACTATCTATTCTTTGAGACCCAATTAAAACGCCATTATTTTCTCACGCTTGTCTTGAGCACTTTACTCCACAGAGCTCTTCAAACTTCGATAGTACTTTTCTGGATTGGTTATAAACTAGATTGTGTTATTTAACATTCTCAAAATTGGTGGAGAAGGGAGCATTGGGGTAGGTGTGTATGGTTAATATCACCTGTAGGTGCTGTGGAGTATGTTATTATACTATGGGGGAAATGCATGCTTCCTTGGAAAACTGAATAATTCCCAATCTATCTAAATGACATCCCTTGCATTATCTAGTTCTAAGAAAGTTATTTTACAATATGTAAACCATAGATAATTGATATTGATGCTAAATAATTTTTGTAAATGTACAGGTTCTTTCCTCTTAGTGGTTCAATGAAAGTTTTGTCCCAATTGGACATTCATTTCAATATTTCTGATCAATTAATGTGTCTAATTCAATACCCATCAGACAGAACTGACTAATTTTCAGTGAAAAGTTTTGCTGCCCTTTATTTTATCCCAATTTCTGGCTGTGGCTATAGATTATGGCAATCTTTTCCTATCCCTGCCCCCTTTGAGCCCTCTTCATTCTTTCTGTCACAGGGAGTCTTAATCTCCATCTGGGAATCCTCCCAAATTTATCTGCAAATCAATCCTTATCTTTTGTGTGATTCTTAAAGAGGCCTGTGATCTGAGAATGTTGAGAACCACTGTTCCTTCAGTGATCAGGTTTTCCTGCCCAGCTTGAGTTTCTGCTCCATTTACTTATTGTCAAGGGGTGTGTGTAGTGGGGACAGGAAGATTTAATCTCTTTTTGGTGAGAAGAAAATCTTTCTTGTTTAGAGATGGAGCTAAAAAGAAATTCAACTTTTTGTTCAGTGCTATGATGTTTTCCATAAAATACCATTACATGTTGCCCTTAATGAGAGCTGCAGCTTTACTGATTACTTTAGCGTCCATTATTCTGTGGGTCACAGTGAGTTTGGGAGCTATGAAAAGATCCAGCAACTATATTAACAAGGTATGATCTGAGGTACAAGAGACCAGCAGAGTGTACTGTTAGAGGAGATAATAGTTTTTTGTGTTTGTTTGTTAGAGGTTTTTACCTTAGGGCACATTTGCTCTCCAGAGAGAGACAGAGACAGCAAGAGGAAAAGTGAAAAATCACTTTCCGGGGAAATGGCCATGCGACAATCCCTTCTTCATTCTTCTCCCGGGATATTGGTCATGGATACACATGTGTCTGGCATGAATTTCAAGTCACTGGGTCTGGGACTCAAACTGTGTTTGTCTATGTGGGAGTCCAGCGATGTAACCGCTATGCCATCTGCTGGCAACCGATAATAGAGTTTTTAAGGAGGGAATAATCAGTAGTAAACATTACTAAAATTGTATTATCTCTTGGAATTGACATTGGGAAGTTTTTGTTGACTTTGGAAAAGCAGTTTTAGCATTGCTGTAGAACGGAAACAAAACTGCAGGATGTTGAATAAATGGCAGAAGAGGAAGTAGAGCTGCAAAACTGATTACTTTTTAAAAGCTCAGCAGTGAAGAAGAGCAGTTTGTTGGGTCTTCTGAAGACGTGTGTTAGGAAAAATGTTGAGAATGACAGCATCAGAGCAAGGAGAACTCAAGGTGTTGGGAAGGGAGAGTTGCTGTTAGGCTGTCTTAGAGGAGAGCTGAGTATGCAGAGTAAAACACTTAGGGTTTGGCAGGCTTAAAGGTGTGAAAAGGACCCTACAATCATTTGAAAGTTGGAAAGAATAAATAAAGATGGGTTTTGAACTGGAAGGAAATTATTGCAATTTGAGCAGTGATCTCGTTTCTCAGAGCAGCAGGAAGAGGAATAAATAGAAATAGCATGATTTTTAATACCAGCTCTTCTTTGATTTAGATCTCAGGTTACCACCTACTTATTATGTTTCCTCAGGCTGGTTATTGAATCTCTGAGTCTTGATATCCTCATTGTGAAATAAGGGTTCTAACACCTACTTTGTGGGATTAACATAAGGATTAGAGTCATATTTGTAACATACATGACATTAATAACATATCTAAAACTCTCTGGCTCACCGTACCTGCCACGGTGGTTGTCTTTAGTTTCCTTTAGGGTATTTTTTTTTTTTAAAGAAATTGTTTTATTTCATTTATTGTCACCATTATTATTTTTTAATTTGACCAGAGAGAGAGAAAGAGAAAGTAGGAAAGCAAGCCTCCAGATCTGGGACTCAAACTGTGATGGGCCATGTGGGAGTCCAGCACCTTAACCACACCTTAACCACCACACCACCTGCCGGCCCCTCCTTTGGATTTTTTTGATGTCCTAGGTTCTTTTCTACTCTTAATGCTCCCAGAGTCACCCTTATCTATTTAAGAATCTTATGCTGCTTCTAGTCTTGTCACTGCCTAGAAGAGATAGTCTCTACTTCTCTGATCTAAATGTGTAGCTCCACCTGTTCTTTGTATCACAGATTCTTGCTAAGTACTTATTTCTATGATTATATGTTTGTGTGATTTTTTGACCCCATTTCTTCCACTAGGCAAAGATTCAGCACCCAATAATGCTTGAATGAATGAATGTCTAGGATATAGGAAGCAAATAAACATTTATTATTTCACAGTTTCTATGGATCAGAAATTTAGAAATGCCTTAGTTGCATGGTTCTGGCGCATAGTCGTTGCAATCAAGATGTCAGGTGGGGCTGAAGGGCCCACTTTCAAGGTGGTTCATTTACATGCCTGGTGGTTGGCCCTGGTTGTTGGCAGGTGCTCTCAATTTCTTCCCATGGGGGGCTTTCCATGTGCTACTTGAGTGTCTTTAAGTCTTGGCAGCTAGCTTCTCCTGATCAAGCAGTCCACGAGAAAGCAAGGCAGAAGCCACAGTACCTCTTATGACTCTTCACTGGAAGTCACACACAGTTATTTCTGTAATATCCTATTAATTACATAGGGCAGCCCTACTCATTGTGGGAGGCAGCTATCCAAAGGCATGAATAACAGCAGGTTGGTGTCATCAAAAGGCATCTTAGAGGGCATCTGTCTACCACAGATTCTATGTGAAATAGGATAGTCAACCAAGAATGATGGAAACAGTTGGTGAGTAGTGTTGAAAGAGGACCCAGCTGATATAGGAAAGCATGTCTTGTTTTTTGGCAGCAGGCAGGACAATTCCATCATTTTTTTTTTCATAG